CCTCATCGTGCCAGTTGTTCCTGAACTGAAGACTTTGCAAGCGGGCGCACGGAGCCATGACTGCCGGTGCCGCCGCCGCCGCCGCCGGGCTGTAGAGAGCTGCGTGCAGCCAAGGCGACGTTGTGTGCGTGTGCGCGCGTGTGAGCCGAGTGTGCGTGTGCGCGCGCGCGCCCTTGCCTGCGAGTGTGTGTGTGTGTGTTTGTGTGCGTGCGTGCATGGGGACTAGCAACCGCGTCGGCTCCAGCCCAGCAGCGCCAGCAATGCCGCCGAGCTCTCGCCTGCAAATCACAATGTGGCATTTGGGTCCTGGGGGGAGCCCTCTTGATCGCCCTCTCCTTTTCTTCCCCCCATCCTAGGGGTGTTTGGTGTGCGTGTGCGTGTATGTGTGTGTGAGAGAGAGCAAGAGATAAAAAGAAATGCGGATCGGAGGAAGCGAGAACCCCCAGGATTAAACAAGAAGAAGAAGAAAAAGAAGACGGTGAGGCGTGAATGTGTGTTTGGAAACAACCACCCCAGCAGCAACACAACAGGAGGGTAGTGGGGTGGAAGTCAGCAAAAAAGAAACTTATGGAAGAATGGAGATGGTGGGTGGCTGCTGCGTCTGTTCTGATGAATGGGGCTGGGCAGAGAACCCCCTGGTGTACTGTGACGGGCATGGCTGTAACGTGGCGGTACATCAAGGTAAGATTTCCCCCCCACACAGACACCCCACCCCACTCTCCGCCTTTCCCTCGGCACTGACACCATTCCTGACCCTACTTCCTTTCCTCCCTCCCTTGCCGAGCCCCCTCTTTTGCCTTCTAACTCTTGAGCGCCACCAGAACAGATCCCCCCCCGTTGAATGTTCCAACCATCGCTATTTGAAAATCACCCATAGGAAACATCACTAATCAAAGTGAAAAAATGCCCCGAAAAACTAATCGCTATTCAATTTCATCGCTATTTGAAGTGCTCGCTATTCAAGGCACCACTGTATATAGGTCCAAGGCACCTGCAAGCAGTTAAAAAAAAGCCAACAATGCAGCCAGGTATGTAAGGAATACAAATGATTGCCTGAACAAACAAGAATACATCTACAACCTACCAGATGGCACTACTTTAGCGGTCATGAGCAACTTTGTATTTACATACCACGTCAACTTCACAATAACATTTCCAGATCGACTACACAACTACGGGTGCATGTATGATACCACAGAACACAAACATATTCATGGTCAACCTGGAACAATGCTTTCTCAGTGTTCATGTACAAAAGCTTCTCTGTTGTGTGAGGCCTCCAAGATGGAGGCCTTGGTAGGAGTGCCGTCGCGGGGGCCCTTATGTCTGTGTTTGTGTATGTGCGTGCGAGGATTTATGGAGGATAGGAGGGGCGAGATCTGAGCTGTTCCTGTCTCCGCTGATACGTGTATGTGAATGTGTTTGTGGCTTGTTTTTGGGTTTATATGGCCTTTTTTTTAAAAAAAAAATCTGCCCCAGCCTCTAAAGATGAGGGGCCCCGGCGATGGAGACAGCAGAAAGGACAGAAAACTGCAGGGGTCGTTAGGGGTTTGTTTTTGTTTTTAATTATTATTTGACGTAGCTTCAAAGAATTGCACGCCAGTGACCTCGGACTGTCTCCCTTGGCTTCCTTCCGGATTAGCAGGCTTCTATTATTAGCTACCACGTAACATTGTGGGCCTTTTTTGTTTTGGTTTTTTTTTTTTTGCGGGGGGGGGGGGGTGGACAGAAGGGCCCGGGTTTGTTTGTTTGTTTGTTTTCCCCCTCCAGGGTGGGGAGCTCTCTACTAGCTTACAGTTTTATTCATTAATCTGTTTTTGAGATAAACTAGCCAAGGAGAATATCTAAAGAACGGAAGTGGGAATATATACACATCTCCTGTCTACAAAAGGAGCGCCTTTGGAGCAAGGAAATAATAAAGCCGAAGTGTGTGTGTGTGTGTGTGTGTGTGTGTGTGTGTGTGAGAGAGAGAGAGAGAGAGAGAGAGCATTTGCTGCTTCTTTCTCTAGTTTCCTATAGTAGATCATTAACACTGGAAGCAGAAGGGCGAGGAGGCGTCACCTTGATTGCACCCTGCCCCACGGATCTAGGGTTATTAAAGCAATTCCAGGCCTGGTTGTTTAACCCTTTCCAACAGGTCTTAGTTCAAAGGAGAATGGCAGGAACTCAAGCTTACCTGGTGCTGATCTGGGGTCCCAGTAGGCAGATGAAATTAGACAGGAAAAAAGCCCCTATTTATTAAAAGGAACGGATAGGCAAAGCATCCAGATTAGGGACAGTTTACTCTGGAGAGAGTCCAAAGTTCAGATGCTCCCTCAGCCTTGAGTTGGGCCAGTCCTCCTCCAGCAATCTACTTTACAGGGTTGTTGGGAAGTTGTTGTTATATATATATATATTTAAAGGGAAAACTTCTTTTACACTTTACCTGTCTGGGAGGAATGACAAGCTAAACATGTAATAAATAGGACAATCCTACAAGCCTCACATGGCCGGCCTGACCATAAAAACACAGTAATTAGAGATTGCTTAACAAGTTGTTGCCTTGTCATGACATCCCCCTCTGCCTAGTGACAGAAGCAGCCCTGGCACTGGGCTGGAAGGAAAAATACCTGGGAAGACAGAGCAAAGGTAGCAAAGAAGAGTTTTGTTTCCGTCCTTGTTGCCCCCTCCAAGCTGGTGATTACAGTACAGTGGTGCCTCGCTAGATGACGACAATCTGTTCCACTGAAATCGCTGTTTAGCGAAATCATCGTCTAGCAAAAAGCATTTCCCCATCGGAATGCATTGAAACCTGTTTAATGCGTTCCAATGGGGAAGAATCGTCGTTGTCTAGCGAAGATCGGCCATAGGAAACCCGCTTTGCGAACCGCCAATCAGCTGTTTAAATCACTGTCTTGCGAAGCTTAGGTCCCGAAAACACCTGTTTGCGAGCGCGGAGGGAGCTGTCAAAATCGTTGTCTAGCGAAAAATGGTTTGCGAAGCAGGGACCAAACATTGTCCAGCGAAATTCCCCCATAGGAATCACTGTTTTGCGAATCGCTAGAGCGGTCACAAAAAGCCAATGTCTAGCGAAAAAACTGTCATGTGGGGTAATTGTCTAGTGAGGCACCACTGTACCTGTTCCTGCTCCAGGGATGTGGAACGTGTGATCCTTTGTGTGTTGGACTGCAATGCCCAACTCTCCTCATGACTGGTTGTGCTGGCCAGGCATGATGGGAACTGCAGTCTGATAATGTCTGTAGGGGACCTATCCCCCCCTTCTGGTGCTCAGGAGCACCCATATCTCGGTCCAGTTTGTTGGTTCCCCATTCTGAGTGGCTCTTGTTATAAAGAAAATTAAATATGTCTCTGTTCTTGGTGTGCATGTCAAAAACCATAACCCCCCCTTCTTTGTATTAGGTTATTATAGTAGTCAGTTAGTATACCAGTTATACTAGGGTGTACTTGGATAGAATAAATGGGCTGGGACTCAAGAGGCCTGGGTTCAAATCTACTCAGCTAGGGAAACTCACAGTTGGTCTGAGATGGATAAAATCACTCCTTAAATATCTCGTTTACCTTGAAAGTCCTTTTAGGACTAGAATTTGATTCAGATTTGAAGGCACATAACAACAAATACCAGTAGTAGTACTTTTAATTATTATAAAGCATGTCATTTCATAAATGCAGCTAATGATCCTTAAATACTCCACTTTTTGTGCAATTTAATATACTATAATGTATTACACAATGGTAGTAGTTAGAGTACCTAGCATTCATCAAAATCAGTTTTGTGGTCTTTAAACCAAATACTGTATCTCTCAATGTAGCTTTCCCTGCCCTGTCTGTTTCTGCATTTCTCCCTGATTTGGTTCCTCTTTGGCAGTACGTTCACACAGAAAACAGTTCTAAGTGGAATCCATGGAAGCTTGGAAAAGGATAGGAGAAGACATTGGGAGTACACCTGCATCGGGGATGAGATAAGAGCAGAGGAGCCTAGTCCATGGCTATGCCTTTGAAGGCATTCAAGAAAAGGAACTATGTGGCCCTTTGGGTGTTATTGAAGCTCAAGTCCCATCCACCCTTGCCAGCACAGCCACTAACGAGGGATACTATAAATTGCAGTCCAGTAAAGTCTGGAGCTCCACACATTCCTCGCCTGTTTGAAATGCTGCCCAGCTGAATTCTGGTTAAAGAACCATAAGAGAGAAGATCATCATGAGCCATATATTTGCCCATCAGTGCTTAGCATCTGGACGGAAGAAGGATCAGGCTGATAAGAAACTTGGTCATAGTCTTTCCCCACTACTGTGTGAGACAAGATACTGTATTTCTATTGAAATTGAAATTGTTTTGAAATCTGCTGGGCCTGTGCTTATAAATTGGTATAGATAAATTTCATGCAAACTTCTCCCCTCTTTTCTCTCCCCATTTTGGAGGCCTGGGTCCCTTCCTCTTTAGCAGCGCTTAAACTGGGTTGTGTAAAGATAAGAGGAGAGATGGGAACAGTGTGGAACAAGGAGAGGGGAGGTTGAGGCATTTCTGCTGAACGTGTGTGTCTTGACAAGCGGTTTCAGGAAAAACAGGGAGATGAGTTTTACAGAAAAAATGCAGAAGTTTTCCCTTGAGACGGATGCAGTTTCTCTGTCCAAACCCACATGCATAAAAACCTGTGCATTGTTTTCCTGGATAAGCTGATCTAGTTTGGGATTTTTCCTCACTGTGGCAAGCTGGATTATCTATTGACAGAACAAGAAGATGCATGGACCTCCTCTTTTCTTTGTTTCCAGAGTCTGATATTCAGAGGTGTACTTCCTCTGAACATGGAGGTTCTAGTTGGATATCATGGATCTAGGTTCCCACAAGATCTTCCTCTTTTTCCTCTTCCTTCTGGAGGCTGGATATCAACACAGTTGTTCTGTCTTTGGGTGTCATAACCCTAAACAATTATGTTGCATTGCATCAAAGCCAGTCTCTCAGTTTTTTTCAGCCAATATGTAGTATGCATTTTTGTCCTTTTTATTTCCCATTCATTTTAACCTGAATGATCAGCTGTAACAATCTATACTTTTTAGTTTCTCATCACATGGCTGACATATTCTACCTTTGCACATGTTATGTGTTTTATGATCTCTCTGTCTGTTGACCCCCTCAAATTCGTAGCAGCCTCCCAAAAAGCTACATTTCAAATACTTCTGCCTTTTAAAAGTATTAAAGCCCACAGTTCCATGCCATACAGTAGAAGTGATAACATGTACTGTAGCTGCATAAAATGTTCATTCTTTAAGTCAAATATAAATTTTTGTTGGACATTGCATTCTTTGTCTTAAGAAAACAGCTTCAGGACATTCCTGTTATAACTTTTATTGCCTAGCTATGCTCCCTGTTCATTCAACCAAGGGGACCAAGGTACAGTACTACACTTTCATTTTGTAACTACATTTCTTGGCCTGCTTGCTTTTTACTGAGTGCTGCTATGGACTTGGTCCCCTTCATACTCATTTTTCAAACCCTGTTCATTACTTGCTTCATTGACTTTATGATGCCATCATTTAAATAGCAAGTACTTTTCTAAAGATGTTCCTGGAGTCCTTTTTTTTTAAAAAAAGTGGGGAGAGTATACATCTTTCTCATAGTCCTTTTGCAACGGTGTGCCCTTGGTTATAATCTCCTCCTAGAGCCAACTGCATAAGTGAATGATA